CTAGGATGGGGCTCCTCCCATCCTCTTTTTTGCTTGCTGAAATATGGTAACCCTACTGTTGGCTCCTGCCAGTGGAGTGGGTCGAGAGTGTCAGCTCAGCTCTTAGCCACATGACAGGCTGGATAAAAACTGTGCACCCATATGCAACATCCTCTTCCTCCCACCCCCTTTTTAAAAAAAAAAAAAACAACATTATAGTACTGTAGTTGGGATCCAGGGTCTGTGTTCATCATAGCTAAACATTAATTATAATGAAGGGAATTATAGCAAGGGTGTGCTGTATGTTATTTTAAATCCACAAAATTTGGCATAAATAAATGGATCAATGACACCATATTCAGATATGGCACAAAGAATATTGCTACAGGAAGCCAGTCATGCATATTTTTAAAATTAGATTTATAATGGAAAATTTAAAACAAACATCATAATCCTACTCAAAATCAATGAGTTTATGGATCCGTTTGAACAGCACCTCTACAGTTCAGAGGTATGGTTTGGACTGATTTGATTTAGATAAGCATGCTTGCATGTTAGCTAAAAATTCTGTTTTTAAAGGTATTGGTTTGTGATTTCAAACAGTATTACATTAAAGTGCACTAGGGAACTTTTAATGCAGACCACTAAAGTCTATACAGAGCAGTGCTTGCTAACAAGTTTGACAGTGATATAGACAATGGCCTGAGATTATTGTTGTATTTATCTATTACATTGAACAGCCATGAGATGATACATTAACAAGTAGAGCTGGTTGAAGAAACTGACAAAACCATATTCTGTTGGAATATTCAGTTCCATTGAAATAGAAACTTCATTAAATTGGGTCAATTATACCAGATTTTATTTCAGAAGAAAACTGGTGGAAAAAGTTTCAATTATGTTGAAACATCCAATTTTAACATTTTTGGGGATGAAACATTTTGATTTTTTGTTTTGAAATGGCTTTTGTTTTTGTTTTCTAACTTTATAATATAACATAAAAAATAAAAAAAATTAACTTCAGAAATTCAGTTTTGTTCTGATTCTGAAGTAAGCCAAATTTTGAAATCCTTCATGAACCAGAATGTCCATCCTCTGCACAGCTCTATTAACAACCTAACCCAGAACTGTGACTAAAGTAAAATTTTTGTATCAAATAACCAATTCCAAGAGCCATCCAGTCCTGCAATTTATCTGAACTTATATGAACCTATTTGGTCTAAAACCTTGATTGTGCATATGGCAAGATCAGGTTTTGACCTAATAAGCTTTAAATTACCTGGGATGAGCCTACCTAAGAGACCACCTCTTTTCCTGTGAAACACTATCACAGTTACACTCAGCTGAGCCATTGATGCTAGATCCTTTCTTGATATAATAGAGTTGATACAATAGAGAGTAGGCAGGACATTCTTTGTTCTCATTCAACCCCATGTATAATACAGCCTGAATTTGCAACTTCCAGGGCATACTGCAGGGTCCGTTTGTCTCATCCAGCTTTTGAAGAAGTATTAAGGTACATGGTGGTTAGCATTTGATTATCAGCTGCTGCTTTGGCATGAAGGGTGAGTTGCCTGAACTGCATATTTAGTTTGTGAATTTAAATGATTGTAAGTCACGAGGAGCTTGATTATGGGTTCTTTTGTTATTCTAACTAAAAAAAATTAAGAAAATAAATTAAAAAAACAGCTGCTTGTGGTCACTCTTTTCCAGAAAGAGGGATCATCTCCTCCCCACTAACTCCTCATCATTGTTGAGAAGATGGGGAAATGACTAAGAAAGTCACATTTGGACTTATTTTACTTGAATGATGAATTGTAGCTGTACTTCAATCTTGCATACCCCATCGCCTTTTTCTTCTGGCACAGGGCGTTCCTTTATCATAAAAATCTCTTCTGGATTGTGTTTCCAGTGATTTTTAATCCTAAAATGGTACTCGGTCTGTAGAAAGGTCTGAAATTATTTTGACCTAGTTTCTAAAACAGTAAGTGTGTTTTGTCTTTCACTGGACCCTACAGCAATCTTATGTATTTCCCTGACTAAGAGCTTGCTTGGCTTGTCTATTTTCTTTCCAGGTGTGGAACCATAACTATCGGAGACACTGTGTTCAGAGCAACCATTTGAGCAGAGAATATGATCAGACCAAGGGATGCCTCAGCAACAAAAGCAGCTGCTATGGATATTTTTCTCAGCACTGATTTTATTTTCATGTCCCCTATGGACCTTTGAAGATCATTAGCACAGGCAACTGCCTCTCTGGCAAAAGAGGTTGTAATACACATCTGAAGCTTCAAAATGTATCTTGAAAGAGTCATTTACTCTGCTGCTAGTCAATTTTTCGAAAGAGACCCTTCTCACCCAGAATAACCATATCCTTATCAAGAGAGGCTATTATCATGTCTACCTTTGCCTGCTGAACTAAATCTTTAGATTCAGCAGTTTACTGAAACTGAGTAGCTATCTCAGAGATCTTTGCATTCTCATCCAAAGGGTTTTTATTTTCTTTTCTCACTTAGGAGAATAACTAACTTGATTATCACATGCTTTCTGTTCCTCAGGTTTGTTGAACTAGTGCTCTGATTGTAAATGAAAACCTAGGATAGAAACTCTTAAGTGTGACTGTTTGGCATGTGGTTGTTTGCTCGAAAAGTGTGAATTGGGAGTACTTTGTTCCAGGTGGGCCTTGAGTGGTTGATGGGAGGGAAGGTTTTGAGCCAGCAGCCTTATAAAAAGGCAGCCAGATGCGAACCGAGGACTGGCAAACAGAGGGAGTTTGCCTGGAAGTTCACCTGTGGGGAGTTCCCACAGAGTGTTTTTGCCTTTTGGGATTCTGTAAGCAGTAAGTACACCATCTGAAGAGGCTCTTAGAAGGAAGACATTATGGATAGTGAGCGATCAGCTGTTGTAACCTGCACAGGATGGGCCATGTTTGTCTTTCTCCCAAAGGACAGAGGCAACTTCATCTGTGCGAAGTGCAAGCTGGTCTCCATATTGGAAGAGAAGGTTAAAGGACTACAGACCCAAGTATCAACCCTGCATTGAATCAGAGAAAATGAAGACTTTCTGATTAGAAGTTAGCATTTGGTACTGAAGGCACAGCATGCTGAAGAATCAGAGAGGGCAGTGCAGAACAGGGAAGAAAATTGGCAGCATATGATCTCCAGAAGAAGAAAGAGGAAAATCCATGTACCCCCAATGCAGATAGAGGTAAGAAACCACTTTTAGGCTCTCTGCACAGGTGGAGAATGATTTGGTATAATTTTCTGAGGGAAGGGATCAGAAGGAGACCCCATCAACTGGAAGGCATGGGATGCATTGTCCTAGGGATGGGGGTTCCACGACCATCACTCCCAAGAGGAGGATACAGGTGGTGGTGGTCAGGGACTCCCTTCTACGGGGGACGGAGTCATCCATTTGCCATCCAGACTGGGAGACATGAGAAGTGTGCTGCTTGCCTGGAGCTAGAATTTTGTTGCTGATGCATCCCTTGGCATGATCAGGATGTGATGGCCTGTCTGCCGAGATTGAAC